AATTTAAATACTATGTGTATAATCCAATGAAAAGAACCCCGGATCGCCAAGAAAGCATGAATCTCACGTGGCTCATGAAACGCTGATCAACATATAGCAATCAACTATGGCAATCCACCTTTGCAACTATGTGTGCAATTTGACAACATCCTCCAGGAATTCGACGCACCTCTGTGGTCATTTACATCGGATCCTGTTCTTCGGATCTCGCATCCGATGCCTACTCATCGCTCCGCCATGCTCCGCCCACCTTGAGGGAACCCTCGACCAAACCTCGCAAGCCATCCCTCAAAACCTCGGAGCGTCGAGGCCCGAGTGGACACGGTGCGCTGCAGGTCGAAGGGTCGTGGATGAAGGTGCCGGATCCACTGGGTGAAGACAAGACGTGGACGAATGAGACATCATGAAAGTGATGATGGTTTAAAGACCAAGCAAACAGCTTCCCCATGCTTCCCCCCACCTTCAAGCGCCGCAAAACTTGGCTGTTCTGAATCCGAATCGATGATTGATTCGGTGATCTACTTGTTTCATTGGATTCCACTGTAAGGCTGTAAGATATCCAGTAAAACTTGTGCCTATTCGCAATACTCAAACGTTCGTCTATGTTGTTTTGGATGACTAAACTGCTCAGCCTTCCGCGCATAGGTACAACGGTAGAACTGCTGATAAAACGAACAGCTGTTCTTTCAATTGAAGCGAATGCTTCTGTAGGGCCATGTCCAGTTTTCTACTGTTGATGTCAGAGTTCCCACACCCCTTCGAACCCGACAAAATTATATTTATATACGTTGCAAATGGACAGGCAATTCATGCCCCCCTCTCAGGTGGCTTTCAAGACATGCCATCCTTCCAACTGCGTACAGGTACTTTAAACAGTTCCGGCGTACCAAGGACCTTGAAGGCGTGGTTTCAAGCCAAACCTTAATTTAGTGAATTGTGTTTGTACCAATGAGCAACCCACCGGAGCGTTGGTGGGGCACTTCATGGCACTTCTCTTCCAAAGAGCTTGGAGTTGCTCCCCAAGAGGATCTGGATGAACATGCCCCAACCATTGATGTGACACGAAGACTGCCTCAGCGTGCTTTCGGCGCTTTCCGGAACCCCGAGGAGACAGCTCGTGGGGAGGACGGGTGGAGGGTCGACGTCCTCACCGGTTGCAACACACGTCAATAGAACAAAAACACTTTAACAAGAATTATACAACCTTAAGTTTCTCCTAAGGATTGGTCAGCCACACCGGAAACCTTCATCCGAAGACAAGTCTCCAAACAGGGAGGTTCCAAGCGCCATGGTTGCAGTGCAAAAAAACGGCAGCCAGAAGGAACATTGAGCGTGGGAAAAGAACACCAAGCTGAGTGACAAAACCTGCACATCAATGACAATTAGAGGCATTTCCTGTCTGAATCTGACGGGGTTTAAGAGTTTCAATCTAAGTCTATAATTCAAATGTAATTTTCGTTTCCAGCAGTCGTTGTTATATCCTACAAGTCCCCGAAGAGAAGAGCATGCGATTCCGAGCAGCCGATCGCCTTCGTGATGTAAAAATGAGGACCGAATGGGGCAAAGCCGAGGATCAAACATTCCGGGCACCCATTGGTACAGCTTGCCCGCGGCTTTTAGTTCCTGATGTGTCATACCACCTGGGCCGATCGAGGATGATGGGCGGCTCGAAATCAGAGGTGAACAGACTGCAATCGCAACAGCGGTTGCTCCGTGGCCGAATGAGGAAGCAAGTTTTGGTCATTCCCTTCATCCAAGTCTTCTCATACGTACTGACGTACGAGAAGCACTCGGCATCGGTTCCTCCAACCGATCGGAGCATCGCAGCGAATTCATTCACCGAGCACAGGACGCTACGAACGGAGCAAAGGGCATTGCTACCAGGAGCAAGGGCCTTACTACTAGGAACAAGAAGCTAAAAACAACAAGTAAATAGACTTCGTCGTCGTCACCGATCGTGGGAAGGGCACCTTCCATGTCTAAGAAGTCGGTGACCTTCACCACGTACATGGGATATCGCATCCTTGGTGCAGAATCAACAGAAGTGGCTCAAAATTCAGATGCTTCTAGACTGATATGGTTGAAATTTGAGGTGTCAGCTTTGATATTGATATCTCATGAATTCTCATGATATCTCTAAGGTTGCTCTGTCGCACGAACTGATGACATGTTCGCTTTGACGTGACCTGCCCTCTACCTGGACCCGACCACATCAGGTGTGTGAGCTTTGGGAGTCATGGAAGAAATCAACCCAGATAAAAGGGTCAAACTTCCTGTAGGCTTGAGGGGTGCTTGGTAACAGCCTCGGCAGCCTTCAACCATCTCCAACCTCTCCACTGCTCAAGATATCTTTGCTCAGCATCTCATGGACGAGCTCCACTTCATCACTCTGCCCACTGCTGCAGGCGCCCATGGCGCAGCTGGAACGGCCCCACGCGCTCTACGGCGAGGAGGCGCTACGCTGTCGACGGCAACCGGGCGAGTGCATGCTGTACCCAGCTACTCCCAAGCACCCTGAAAAAGAAACACAGGGACCAGAGGGGGATCCCGGGTGAGGAGTTTGTGGGTTGGCACCATTTTTGGGATTTGTAATTGGTGGATCCGTTGCTCGGTTTGTTGGGGGGTATCCTCCGTGTGAATAATGGACAAACAACTGCTGGCAAGCGGTGAGTGATGAGTGGATGTGGCGAGTGCATTTGTTTCTTCTGCCATAGATCTGTTGTAAGTCTGCAGAAACTATGAGGATCCTTCTTGATGGTTGGATCGTATTGGATCTGTTATGAGCAATGGATTTATCATTCTTCATCTATTGGATTATGTTGAAGCTTATATAATTATGAGGAACTCTCCGAGCAACTCAAACATCCGCCCATCGCGACTCCGCCAGTGCTGGTGTAGCGAAGTTGCCGACCCCTCCGGATTTCCTCTGAACGTCCAAACTCACACCGTCTACTGAGGTGGTTCTTTCAACTCCATGTTTCCTAGCCACTCTTGCATATGATGGAAGATCATCAAACAATCTCACAAAGAACCTCACATAATTGGATGACCTCAAAAATGGCTAGCAGTACGCTGGCATCGGATCCCCCAGTGCCTCAGTTGGAGTTGCCAAACCCGTTCTCGAAGTCCCCTCGGCAATATGCTGAGCAGGGCGCTGGGAAACAAGCGGAACCAGCTATCCGGTAGTGGAGTCTTGCGAGTTCTTTGGCAAAAACGACTTCGTTTACCTATTTTCTGGAGCGAAACATCGCTTCTCCAGTGGCATTGGCAGTAAAAAGTGTTTATCCTGGAAAAAATTGTTTTTTCCCGGAAACGCCTCCAAATGGGAGCTGATTCGTGAAGAAGAATGGCTTGCCATGGCTTATGTCGTTTTTGATCTCAGACTTGTTTGGCTCATGGACTATTTTATACCACCAGCATGGGCCGGTGTCACCCCCAAACTCTCCTGAACTTGAGTCTTCTTGTTGAACATGTCCTTTTGAGCAGTGCCCGCGTATGGACCACTTGTAAAGAATGCGGGGGTAGGGTAGCAAATCCGTGTTGAGTCAGTTGGTTGGTGCCCATGCGAACACAAAGCCCAGATTGTGCCCTTCAGCGTGTGATAATTTGGGTATCAATGTCTTGAAAGTAACACTCTCAGAAAAATAGGTCTCCAAACATCTTGTGTGATCCGCAGGTTGTCGAACGGACTTTAATGACAAAAAGCTCCCCAAACCATCCAAATTTTCAGGTTCCCGTGGGGAACCCGTCTATAAGCATGGGGAACCCGTCTATACCCGTGGGTCATACTGGAGAAACCGTTTTTTTTCAACAAAATACGTTTTTCCTAACCCGTGGGGAACCCGTAAAAAACCCGTCGTAACCCGTAGGGAACCCGAAAAAACATATGGGTTCCGGAGTTTGCCATTTGAAGGTGTCCATGAGGAGAATTGATCACTCCCATGTGATGCTGGCAACGTGCCAATTCGGATTGATCTTGAAGCACTGCAGTTTCTAGGGGTGAAAGAAAAAGAAAAATGCTTTTTGTAGACTGCTTTCAGACCACAAACACACAGTTGTTCTTTCTTTCGGCACATGTGTTCATCTGAAACCTGGCATCGCTCCTTCAGAAATCTAGAAAGGATCGCAGGACTCTGAAGTAGCTTTGCTTGGTGCCATGTCTAAGATGTCTATAATGACTAGTTCCCGTGTTTGGATGAAGGTGGGCACATGAAGATATGAATAGCAAAGTTGAGAGGAATAAAAAGGGGATGACGTGTGCGTTTGCCTGGCCATGTACTTCAGACAGCATGCCCTCAAAATGCACAAAATCAAGAAAACTGTTTTCCTCAAGAAACATCGTTTATTTCTTGGAACTGTCATGCTTTTAGGTTCTGGGGTTTTATGGTACATTTAGGTTTCAACATCCAACATCCTGTGGCACCTCCCATGATTCAATGCCGCCTGGTTTCAGTTGTTCGCATTATCCCAACGAAGTCTCAACATGAATTGGTTGGGAGGATCTGGTCTCTGAAGACGGTTCATGTCATCAACATCACCTTTCAACTGTTCTGGTCCATCACTAGATTTTGAATGATTTCAAGACACTCTTCGCATTGGTTGCGGGACCCTATGATGATGGGGTATGCTGGATTCCTGGATCACGAGGACAAAATATTTGCTGCATGCACTTTGAGCTTTCCTGATGCAGGCGACCAGCGGCGGGCAGCCACTTTACAGGGCAGTCGCCAACCAAAGGCTTCCACACATGCGGTAGCTGGTTGAACATTTCACACACAGGTCTGGTCCTGGTCTGGGGAATTCGCAATCTCCACACAACTTTCACAAGCAAGCCAGGTTGCTGTCGCAGCTGTCGAAGCTCCTCGAACAGTCAGACAGCAGGAGAAAATGGCAAACCAGGAACATTTACAACTCTGCGTTCTAGCAAACCTCAGCGTGTTGATCATGTGTTAAAAATCTAGACACGCGAAACTACCTTGCCTTATTGTCCACAAACGACATTATTGATCTATCAAAGCGTTCATCATGTTCACTTTGCCGTTGTTGGACACAACCCTGCATTTCCCATCAATGTCCTCAGCTTCCTCCTCTGCGGTGTCTGTGCGTTTCCTGCGCAACACACACGCACACACGATTCGACAAGCATGTCAAAACACTATGTCGCGACATGTTGCGACAAACACGTAACCATTAATTAATTTGCGCAAAGCACGAGAGCACGGAAGGACCATTCTAGTGGGCCAACGAAAACAGTGCCAACCCCCCATGATTTCAATTGATACAAAGTAGCAATGAAAAAGCAAGCCTCAAGCACAAAACAAACAAAGCTTCCCCACATGCAAATTTGCTACCTGCAAAAGAACTGCTGGAACGCCAACTGAAGAAAGGTGGACAGCAGGACAATATGCATTAATTATATACGTCTTGCTGTTCATTGATTCATTATTGATGTGATTAACAAATGACAACATCTAATTCATAATCATGAGTTCCCCCAACATACCCCAAACCGTTAAACCCATGATGCATATCTTAGTCAAAGCAAAAGCAACTCCTCCCGACTTTGGGGTGGACACAGGGACCAGGTTCACCAGGCAGACCTCTCATCCCAATGCTGTTGCCAGCGCTCTGAGAAGTTTTTGGCCTCGTTTTCGCGCGACCGATGGGGGAAGAGGGCCATGGAGCCGATATGAGCCGATGACTGAGCCGTTTGGGGGGGAAAAGACTTGTCAATCTGCAGAAAGAGCTTGAAACCTCGCTCTTTCACCTTTTCCTTTTGTGTCTTGCTCCTAGGAACTGAACCTGATTGGTCTCGTGGAGCTTGCCATGCAACTGGGCGTGTGCAGCACCAGCTCCGGTCTGAATGTCTAGGGAGCAAAAGAGAGACGAATTCCGCGCCTCTTTGAGGAGGTCCTTGAGCTCCTGGCACTTGATTTCCAACTTGCACATGTACGAAATGTGGGATCCATCTCCCGGATATCCCCCATATCTTTTTTTTGGGAGGAACTGATGCAAAATGGGACGGCCTGCAAACACCTCTGGCACCAAGGACGGCTCGGGCTCTCCTGGCGATCGGTCTTCAAGCCGAGGTGCTCCGCCTGGTGTAGATCCTGAGCCCAAACACTGAAACGCAAAAAGGGAAAATGAGAAACCCTGATAGCAACGGCCTCCAGCCTAGTAGCAATGGCCTCCACCCTACTAGCGATGGCCTTCAACCTAGTAGCAATGGCCTCCACCCTACTAGCGATGGCCTCCAACC